ATTATGGACATTTCATGCAAAAGCTACAAGTCCACCCATACATACTCTATATGTTTCACTTCAGCCTCGAAAATGTTTATTCTGATCAGTTTGTTACATTTATCAGCAATAAAACATTTGATTCCTGTTACCACCCACAAACTCACCATTCCAGTCAGCGTGTCCAAAGAAATAATATCCACCATGACCAAAGTTGACAAACAGCATTGTTGTGATTGCAATCCTAGGAATATATTCAATTTAGGACTATAACACGGATTTCGTGTTTGCGCAGGCCACCCAGGATGTAATAGATCAAAGACGAGTGCGAGTGTTTCATCCAGGGGATCCAAATACCGAGGAATTGATGAAATTGATGCTTTTATCTGTGTTTCGAGGTGTTTAGATTCCCCTGATGAAACACGAAGCACGAGTTTTTGATCTGGCTTCTCAAACRAAYTAATAAKGAATGACTCATTAGCAATAAGAAGTATGTTTAGAAAACAAGGGAATTTGCATGATTTAATTCAATTCAGTGCGAAATTTTCGTATATAAGACTGGCTTCACCTGAACAATGTTGATTTGGAAGGAAATACCTTCACCAATTGTGAAATGAACTTCTATATAATTAAAGTATAATAAAAAAGCCTATGAGAAGTTGTTCAATAAAAAAGTAGCTTTCTACAGTAATCGTTGTTAGTCGACTGTCCATTTATGCGCGAATATTTGTAACTAACGCAAATGCATTATTTGAAACTAAATGAATGATTAAAGAATGACCATTCATAATATCCAACCAATTCACAAATAGCTTAGTTGGTAGGTCTATGGGATTTCATGCGAGAGGGCAAAGATTCAAGTCACCGGCGCTGCAACAAAAGTTAAAAAGCAAAAAATATAAACTAGTAATAAATGTTATATGGTAAGTCATCAGGTAGATTAGATTAGGGAGAAAGAGAAAAGAAAGTAAGAAGAAAAAGGGAAAATGTGTGAGTTTATATAGTAAGAGAAGCAAAGAAAATAGACCAATAGGAGCAAGGTAGGCATGGTAACGAGAAATAGACAATTAAGGCAAAAGATGTGTTAGAGAAAAGAACAAGAGAGGTGCTAAAAACGAGAACAAAAGATAATAAAATTATCTGAAAACAAAGCGTTCATTAAACCCATTGAGATTAAAAGTGCGAATAAGCCGCATTTCTTTGGTTTTGCGACAATCATTGTTGCCGCAAAGACAAACCCAAAACAATAAAGTTAGAATGAGAATGGTTGGGTAAATTAAAATTTCGGAAAACAGGTTTTATTAAGATCGTTACGACGAATATAATAAAGATGTTCACGGATACGTCAAAAAATTATTTTTTATTCTAATGGTCCTCAAGTGAAAAAGATAATTGTATAAAAAGTCAAAGCTTTGCTAGTCGTCACAATGCAATTAAAATAACGTAGTTGCTGACGTTGCATTGTTTGATGGTGWAACATTAGTCTCAGCCAATTAAAGATGAGCGTATTGTTCCGGAATCCTTTAAGTAGCAAGACACTTAAATATCCACTTCAAATCGTGTAACCATCGTTCCTGAATATACAACTTATATATTGTCTCTATCATGGCTTCTCTTCAAGAAAGGCAGCGAGCTGATCGAGAGCTCTTTTCAGAGCTCGTAGAACCCTCGATCAACCCGGCATATTTTCATATTGTTCCTGATTATTCAAGTGAAGTGTTTTTCTTACGTATCAATGGTAATGCTCTTTGGGATTCTTGGTGTGCAAGTTACGTCATCACCGCCATGTTGGATGAAAATCACAAAGCATTCCTCATTAGTTTCTCTTGTTCATTCATCCAACATGACGGCGATAGCTTTCTTCTTTATTTCTCAGGGGATTCCTGGTCATGTGGTTGCACACCAAGAATATGCGAGGTTTAGTCAACGTGCAAGCAATGTTTGAATCTCTTGTAGTCAATCTACAGAGATCAACTGGTTACCGGCTCACTTCTGGTGCAATATCTAGAATCGGATCGCTTCTAAGACTTCGTGTTACTTACTTGGTAAAAAAAGATCGAAGGATCACAAACAGGATCCTTGCTAGAGCCCGTCGCTCAGAATTCTGGTCAACAATCACTTTATACAAAGATGAGTTTGCAAGCTTTCCCAAAGATATGTTTGATGAGCTGCAAAAGCAGAAGAGTGAAACCGACCAAAAACAGAAACAAATAGAAGGTACAATAGTCAAATATCATACTCTTNATATTTGTTCCCAGACTTCCTCAGAGAGAGAGAGAGAGAGAGAGAGAGAGTATGACAGATGCCTGCGGAGGAGGCTAGCTAAAATGAAACATCGTGTAAACTTATTCTAGTGGAAGAAAATGGCACGAGTTTATGTGTGATGATTTTTGGGTAAAAACGAAAACTCAGAAAGCATAATAATCATAAATCATGTTTGATTTATCATCTTTACAATGTTACTAACAGCTGGGTTTTAGCTTCATATATAGAGCGAATCAGCAGAATATTTCATAGACCAAAGGAAGAAACTACTTGCCTGGTTTAAGTTAGCATCGGGAACAACAACAATTGAGACTTTTCTAACTTRGCTCGAAATCAATATCTAAGATGCAATACTGTTAACCTTGAATCAACCATTTTGTTTTTGTAACTMAGAATTTTAAAYKTCGCGCCATGACTAGAAAATCGCTTGTTTGACTATAATTGAAAGGTAAAAGTTTTAATAATCCCACTAAAGGAAAGCGACATTTACTCACGAAAAATATTTATTATGAAATATAACTATATCATTCCTTACTTTTTACTGAAACGTTTTGCAACACAAAACATGCAAATATATGGTTCATAGCTCGAAAATCTTGACATGAGACTTTGAAAGCTATAAGGGATTTTTAAAGTCCCCAAGGTTGGTCATTTACAGCTGTCAAAACTTTGCTAAGGGAGTTTGCTAAATCCCCTAACGGGATCACCAGCCAATCAAAAACTATCAGAATTAGTCATGCATACTAATGAAGTGCGTGACTAATTGTTATGCCAGAAAACTAAAATGTCGCTAAAACAATAGAATTCTGCCCAATGGTACTTTAATTGTTATCGCAACTGAAGTCATCTGTGTACCGAGTACAGACGCATGGAAATATCTTTTTGTTAAAAACGCAATATTTTCTTGCTTGTCTTTAACCATTAGAGACTCTTCACATTGAAAACGTTTCAACTATTCATAACGTATTTGATTCTAAAGATAGATGGCCTGCAATATATCATACAGTAAGTACAACTGACTTTCTGACGCTTTTAGAGCGCGTACTCGGGCTACCATTAGAGGTATATTTACTAASATTGATCATCATTTTGTCAATACATACCCACGAAAAGTATCCAAAGATCTCAGACGCTTTTTTTTGTTTTGGGGCTCAGAAGCTGCATTAGTCTAAAGTCAAATGTAAAACAGCAGATAATACWTCAGAGTAATAGCGTTTGTTGATAMTTTAAGGAATCAGAAGAGAAGACTTGCTTACAGTAACTTGTGTGTCTTTGCTTTGTGTGCTACCAGAATGTTGTAGAACCTAAACAAACATTTATTAAAATAGACACACGAAGAGTGTTGTATTACTTTTTAATCACTAATATACTCACAACATCTTCACTCGTTGCTACTTGTCCTGATTGCTACATGTAAATAAAAAAAGAATTGACATTAGAAAGACAGACAGACAGACAATCTAGACAGACAGACAATCTAGACGAACAGACAATCTAGACGAACAGACAATCTAGACGAACAGACAATCTAGACGAACAGACAATCTAGACGAACAGACAATCTAGACGAACAGACAATCTAGACGAACAGACAATCTAGACGAACAGACAATCTAGACGAACAGACAATCTAGACGAACAGACAATCTAGACGAACAGACAATCTAGACGAACAGACAATCTAGACGAACAGACAATCTAGACGAACAGACAATCTAGACGAACAGACAATCTAGACGAACAGACAATCTAGACGAACAGACAATCTAGACGAACAGACAATCTAGACGAACAGACAATCTAGACGAACAGACAATCTAGACGAACAGACAATCTAGACGAACAGAC